TGATTAGTTTAGACCTCGTGATGAGTTGATTCAATGGCGTATCTGTGTCTGTTCGATAGAAATTCTACAGAGATAACGGCTCAAACTTTGGTAAAGAATATGAAGGTCCTACCTCACCCTCAGCAGCAACTGGAGTAACTGGCTAAACAACAGGAGCACGCATAGGCCCTGCGTTCCATTCGGAAGGGCTCATCCCTACGCCTACATCCCTTCAAAGGGTTTACCCTCCGGATCTTCATTCCGAAGGGCCCTTTAAAGTGGCCAGTTTTGAGCACTTCGGTTTGGAACGACCCTTCAATATGGTGGCCATGATTATTTTCACTCCAAAGTGCCCTTCGGAGGGCGATATATCCCATTTTGAACGCACAGAGTGGCTTGGTCCTCAGCAGCAGCTGCCAGCGATTCCACTGATTGTCCATAATTCTCTGGAACAACATTTTCTGAAGGTAACACCCCTTTTCCAACTAAACCAGCCACCAAACAAGCTTTTAAAGGGGTTCTATTATGCTCTTTTACAATGTCTTGAATTTGTTTTACAATGTCTTGGTGGTTAAAAAAACGCATTATTTTTTACATAATTTACATTATTACAATACCTTTCTCCCTAGTCTGGCACAAACGGCTCGATTAGTTTCGGGTTTGTTGAAGGCCCGCCTTCCGAAAAACGAAATGTGATGTGATTGGTTAGCTGTCCCAGTGCGTTGTGATTGGCGAACAGCTTAGACGGTGTTTCAGTACTCACTACACACTGACTAAAATTCAAAAAGTGAAAAAGCATAATAGGACCCCTTTAAGTCCCCCTTAAGTGAAGTTTTAAAAACAGGTATTTCAAAATGTTGGGCAATACGAAATAAATCATCCTTTCTACACGTTTCTAGTCCTACAAGACTTGGTTGTTTTATAAACGCATTCAAATCGAAAGTCGCCATTAATCAGCTGAGCAACAGGCAAACAAACATAATATAATAGTGCAACCAACTCCAGACCTAAACCTGACTATCCAAAACTAAATAAGACCTAACTAGTCTTCAGAGGGTACCAGTTGAGAGGCAAGCCCCCCCCCCCAACCCCGGATTACCTCCAAAAGCAACAAACTAAAATAACAAAGAAAACAAAAAATCAGAAAGCCCAAA